ATCAGGGTTGTATCCTTTTACCATACCTATTTAATCTGTATGCTGAGTAAATAATCCAAGAATCTGGACTATATGAAGAATAATGGAACATCAGGATTGGAGGAATACTCATTAACAACCTGTGTTATGCAGATGACACAACCTTTCTTGCTGAAAGTGAAGAGGATTTGAAGCACTTACTGATGAAGATCAAAGACCACAGCCTTCAGTATGGACTACACCTCAACATAAAGAAAACAAAAATCCTCACAACTGTATCGATAAGCAACATCATGATATACAGAGAAAAGAACTGAAGTTGTCAAGGATTTCATTTTACTTGGATCCACAATCAACACCCATGGAAGCAGCAGTCAACAAATCAAAAGACGCATTGCTTGGGCAAATCTGCTGCAAAAGACCTTTTAAGTGTTGAAACGCAAAGACGTCACCTTGAGGACTAAGGTGCGCCTGAACCAAGCTATGGTGTTTTCAATTGCCTCATATGCGTGCGAAAGCTGGACAATGAATGAGGAAGACCAAAGATGATTTGATGCCTTTGAATTGTGGTGTTGGCAAAGAATATTGAGTATACTATGGACTGCCAAAAGAAGAGGTACAGCCAGAATGCTCCTTAGAAGCAAGGATGGCAAGACTACGTTTCACATACTTGGGACATGTTATCAGGAGGGATCAGTCCCTGGAGAAGGACCTCATGCTTGGTAAAGTAGAGGATCAATGAAAAAGAGGAAGACCTTCAGCTAGATGGACTGACACAGTGGCTGCAACAATGGGCTCAAGCACCACAATTGTGAGGATGGCCCAGGACCAGGCAGCATTTCGTTCTGTTGTACATAGGGTCGCTATGAGTTGGAACCAACTCGACGGCACCTAACAACAACATACATTTGAGAAGTTTAAGACAAATTCAAGGCAGCATAAATACAACTTTAAACTAAAAAGTTTCCCTACTGTAAACAATGACTTTATACCAGTATTGCATGTACTCTGAATCAAACTTTATACTCCTTATCCCAATATGGGACCTGGCGGTGCAGTGGTTAAGAGCTCGGCCGCTAACCAAAAGGTGGGCAGTTCGAGTCCACCAGCCACTCCTTGGAAACCCTATGGGGCAGTTATATTTTGTCCTATAGGGTTGCAATGAGTCGCAATCAATTTGATGGCTACAAGTTTGGGTTTGGTTTAATCACAATATGAGTTCACAGAATAATAAAAGGCATTATAATTTGGAAAAAAGTAACAGAATAAAATTACATTACATGGCACTTTTGCTTACTTCTTGCAAAAATTTTATAAACCAGATCAGCTGACGTGGAAAATTTACAGTCAGAAAAAACTGAGTGATTTCTGGCACGCACAAGTCAGTCAGTAGCTTAGCCAAGAACATAATTAATGTTTCTGATTCCCGTTCCAAAGTTCTCAGCGCTACCTAGTCTGCCTCCTTTTTTCCTTTCCAGTTTTTTGTCTGATGGGTTTTGAAAAAGTAAGTACTTCTTTAGATTCCCTGGGTTTGACACTAGGTTTTAAAGGATCAGCAAACATCAAGGAACTAAGGAAACCTCGTATACCTGACAAGTATGCATATGCTCTGTGAGGCTCCTCAGAAAGAAGTTTGGCACCTCTGGAGGCTTTTGTGGTGAGGCTAAGGGACCTTCTGGTAGATACCTCTGGAGAAAAGAGAAACAGTGGAGAGTTTCACAATTGTGATTCAAACCATTTTTTAAACAGAAAATGATTTCTTTGTCCTGGGCTTTCTCTCACTTTAAAAAAAAAAGCTTTTTGTATTTTGTTTAAATAATCTTGCCCCTTCTATCATGAATTTCTTCCATGTGTTACAAAATGGGTGACTTTCCTGTCCTGTGGAGGGATTACCTGAAAAGGAAAAGAAGACTGTGCTATTCCTGGCAAGTGAAGAGCTGCTGCTGACTCAGTGGTCATTAAGTCACAACCTTTGAGTATTTTTTTCCAGAGGGGAGGGCAGAAGCACTATCCATTTCCGTGCTCCGTGAATCTTAGTTGATGACTTTAGCAGGTTGGGTGGAGCCAGCCATCGAAGCTATTTGTAGTTTTGGAACTCTGTTCTTGGTGGGGAAGCCAAGTGGTATTGGGCTCAGTAGCCTGTTCCAATTAACAGGGCGCCAACTGGCTCAGCCACCTAAGGACGTACATTAAAAGTATCTTCTCTCCTCTTAGTATGTTGCACTGGGTCAGGCTACCATGATGAAGTCTTCAAAAAGACAGTAGAAATAATGGCCAGGTAATCCTTAAACATATGCATATGTCTTTAAATATATGATTTGCCTTGAGCTTACTTCCAGAAACTGAAATCAGAATAGAAGATTCCATTTACAATCTATCTCTTGGCAGCCAAACTCTCAACACATAGGAAATGTAACACAAACGGAGCAAACTCAGTGCTTAGGCTATTTGGTCCAGATGACTTCCTATAGAGCGTATCTCAGGAGAAGCACAGGAGAGCTCTGTAAAGGCATTTGGAAATCTCTGGGCCACACTGAGGAATCAAGTGGTTCAGCTATTCTAAAATGTAAGGAGAAGCTGGACTGGCACTCACAATCTTGTGGCCAAACGAATATTTCATTCTTTTTGTTTTTAATTTTAAGGACGTCCTCTTCATATGCATTTACTTTTAGTGGAGTTGGCAGTGGTAGAGATAATACAAGAGGCAAAAGTTTAACTTTTTATTGAAGGGAACACTTTTTCAACCTTCTTCAAAGAACTCTTCCTCATCTTCTGTTCCAATATTTTTGGTTTTATTAACTATAATAAAACACATCATGTCATACTGTGGTAGCCCTTCTCATTAAAGGGTCTCAAAGCAAGGCAATGCTTAATTAAGGGCCCAGTCACAGTTAGGTTCAGGGCAGTGATGGCTGGGCCCAAGCAGGAACAAAGCAAATCTGCCCAATAATTTAAAACATGCAGGGAAGTTTTGCACATTCCCTTGCAAATAGGATTACCACTGCCGACCTGGGCTTCTCATGGCATGGCAGGAGCAGTAATGCAGTGCTGGAATCTAGGGGTGAGGGGACTCAGGAAGGGAGGTGGCCATCCTGCTTCCCCTTCAATTGAGAACCCTCTCTCCGCCCCCTCGGCTCCGCAGGACTGTCAGGGTGTGAGGTCAGGTGCATTGTGGCAGTCCGGGCCTAGGCAAGAAGGAGGGAATGCAGGACACCTGACTGGCAACAGAGGTGGGGCCAGGAGAGGGAAGTGCTTCGGGTGGCTGTGGAGCCACTTTAGCCTGGACAGGGAAAACCCTGGGGAGCACATTCAGCTCTACAACTGGTACAGCCATTTCCCCTCTCCCCCTTCCTGCTCACTTCCCTGTCCATTATCTCCAGTCAGCATTCATTCCCTTAGTGAGGCCATGTTCTGTGCCAGGAACTCAGCTATCAGCTAGAGCTTGACAACGAGAACAGGATAGTGTTCTGAGGTCATTCCTGATGAGCAGAGTCCTATGAACACAGAATAGAGTACTGCTCCCCAAGTCACAGAGATTGTGTTATGACAGATGAGACTTGGGGCCAGAGAGAAGAGGTATAAGATAGGGTAAAGCCCTTTCCCCCCATCCACATCCTCTCTTCCCAGGGCACCCTCCGCAACACACACACACACCAGTGGAGTGAGGTTGCTAGGAACCAGGTGTTAGCTCAATCTAAACTTTCTGAGTCAGAGCTGTCCAAAGATAAAACGATCTACTAGGGGAATGGCTGGCTCCTGGCCACTGGGGTTGTCTAAGAAAGACTGGATTGCTACAGTGCTCTGTGAATCCTTATAGTGGGTTTGGCCAGCTGGAGGGGGCCGTTTTGGGTGTCCCAGCCTGCTCTGCTCTGGCCTGTCTGGACGATGATGAAAAGGCCTGATTAGGAAAAGGTGGCAGAAAACAGCCTGGTGATAAGAGACTGGGGGGCTGGAGGTGTGAGTGAGGGGGAGCAACTTGCTCAATAGCTGACATCTTCACTTTTTCCATCTGTACAACTCCTGGTCCTGGACTACATGGAGAGACGCAGGGTGGCTGGAGTGGACACCACCATCTCTGCTGACCCCAGCTTGGCTCTGGACTTTAGATACAGCTTAGCTCTGAGATTGTTTCCAGGGCTTCAAACTTCTACTCTTCCTCTTCTCCACTAAACCCACTTCTACTCCTCACAACATCCATAGTACCCCAAGTGGGCACCCACATATCCTGACACCCCAGAGCCTCAAGCTTTCTCCTCTCTTATCAAAGTACTCTCTCAGATCTTTCATTTATACCCAGGCACAAAATACTTTGGGGTGGGGAAAGGATGGTATGTGTGAAGTGTTTGTTTTTACATTTTGGACTTGTCACAAAGACCTAGACAGTCCCTAAGGTTCCTGGTCTATTTCAGCCAGTGTTGGGCAGCTGGTTATCTTAAGTGAATCCCCCAGTAGTTTTAGGGGGGAGACAAATTATAAATCACAATTCTAGAAACTTCTGCCAGCAATACTATCCACAAGATCACCAACAGAGAGGAAATGTGATAATATGGAGAAACATTAAACTAGAAGTCACAAGTCTCCATTTTCTGTGACCATCCACATGCTGTGGATGAGCTGTGTGGCAGTGGTCGGGTCGCTTTCCCTGTTATGGATTGAACTGTGTCTCCCCAAAACATGTGTTGTAAATCCTAATTTCTATACCTGTGGATGTAATTCTACTTGGGAATAGAGTTTTCTTTGTTATGTTAATGAGGCCATATCAATGTAGGGTGTGTCTTATATCACTTTTGAGATACAAAAAGAGCAGATTAGGCACAGAAGCAAGGAAGCACAGATAGATCACCCAGGAACCTAGGAACAGAAGCTGAAAAGAGACAAGAAAAGAGTGGACAGAGAGAGAAAGCCCTCCCCTAGAGCTGGTGCCCTGAATTCGGACGTCTAGCCTCCTAAACTGTGAGAAAATAAATTTGTTTGTTAAAATCGCTCACTTGTGGTACTTCTGCTATAGAAGCACTTAGATATCTAAAACACCCTGCATCTTTCAGCTTCTCCAATGGTAAAAAGAGGTTAATCCAATATCAACATTCTATGATATCATACAGGCAATATTCTGATTTCATAACAGGTCCCTAAGACCATTTCAATGCTGATACCCCACGATTTCATAATAGTGAGTTGAACTTTTTATGCAGGTTATATAAAAAGAAAGAGGTGACATATATCATTTCTCTGAAAGTCACCTCACATCTATGATAGTGACGTCACCTGAGTCTTAGTTTGCTAATCTGTATAATAGAAATAACAATACCAACCTCATAAGGTGGTGGGAGTGAGGGTGCCTGTACGGCTGTAAAACTTTGTACAGAAGCAAACTCTGAACCTCTCCGAAGGTTCTGGAAGAGATCTTACTTCCGCTCCCAGCGCCGCTCCACGACGGACGAGAAGAGCAAAGGGCCGGAGGGGGCGGGGCGAGGAGGTTGGCTTTGTTCTCGCCCCGCCCCGCCGCTCTCTTCCTAGATATCGCGAGAAGGGGGCGGGGGAGTGGAAATAGGGGGCCTGCTAGGCTTCGGTGTCGGCTCTGCTCCCGCGCCAGGAGCGCTAATCCGGCCTCTCTCCGCGGGCCGCGGGTAAGGCACCGGCGGCCGAGGGCTCGCGAAGGGCTGCCAGCCGCGCGGCGTCGGCTGTCGCGTCGGGTCGTTGTGTCGTGACAAGGACGCCGGTAGCCGTTTCCGCAACAGCAGGTGTGGCCGCTTCAGCACCGAGTGGGCTCCGCGGCTGCCTGGCGGGTCTCTGCTCGCATCCGGCCCTTCTTTTCCGCGACCCGCAGCCAAACAGCGACACTGAGTCGACAGCCGGAACGACGGGCTATGGCGGCCTCGACGGCCTCGCACCGGCCCATCAAAGGCATTCTGAAGAACAAGAGCTCCGCGACTTCCTCTGTGGTGGCCTCAGCCCAGCAGTCCAGCGGCAGTGTCGAGGAAGAGCTGAGGTGAGAACCGGGAAGGACGGCGTCTCGGCCCGTTGTCGGCCCGGGAAAGCGCCTCCCTCCCGACCCGGGCGGCCTCGCCCGTCGGCCGCCGTTACCGACCCCGAGCGCCGGCGGCGGGCGGCGGCCGTTCCGTCTCCTCCTCTGGCCGGGTCGCGGGGGGAATGATTTTAACGAAGGCAGGAGCGATGACGTTTGTCGTGTTTTTTCTTTAGTGTATTTGCATATGTTATATTTTTCAAACAAACTTACGGTCTTTGAACTTTCAGGAGTTGGTAGCATTGAAGAATGAAATTGAAGTTTCAAAGCTTCACCTGTTAAGCTTTTATTTCTTAACCTCATATCCTAGCTATCTAAAATTCTTGAGTAATCAAAGTGTATTTTCTTGGGTTGGGATCCCTTTCAGATCTAGAGTCAAGCTCATGAGACCCTTCAAAGAAAGAGACCACTCCCCCATTTTTGTTATTGCTGTTCTTCCACAGTCGTTCCTTTATACGTGAACATTATCAAAATAATTGTGCCACGCTCGTCTCTTAACGTTCTGATTGTCATTATCACTGCGCTAAGAGAAAGCAAAAATTTCGAAGTCCTTGATGTATATTTAACAGAAAGCTACTTACTGTTAATTATTTTTGCATCTGCAAGCTAGAGTTTTGGGAGCTTTCTAGGCTTTGTTTCTCTTCAAAAATATATTTAAGTTCAGAGGGGAGCAGCTTAAAATGATCCAGTGATGTTTCAGTGGCTCTTACATACTCTCAAATAACACATGTAAAAAGGTGCTGAACCGAAGCATTGTGTGTAATAGGAAATATTTGGAAGCAGTCCAACATCCATTAAAAAGGACTGGTGAAATATTAATTGTATTACATTTGTATAATGGAACAATATATCAGCCTTTTAAAAAAAAAATGAGGTGAGTGTTTACCTACAGAAAGGGAAAGATTTCTAAGGTGCAGTGCTCGATGGAAGTTGCAGTACAGTGTATATGATATTAAAATATACCACTGGGTTAGAATGCAAGGGGGCTTAGATGTTATAACTAAAAATGTATGGGCTCTGCATTCTGGAATGATGCATTTAAATTATGATGTTGGTGAAGAATATTGAATACGCCATGGACTGCCAAAAGAATGGACTAATCTGTCTTGGAAGAAGTACAGCTAGAATGCTCCTTAGAAGCAAGGATGGCGAGACTTCATCTCACTTACTTTGGACATGTTGTCAGGAGGGGCCACTCCCTGGAGAAGGACATCATGCTTGGTAAGGTAAAGGGTCAGTGAAAAAGAGGAAGACCCTTGAGGAGATGAATTGATACAGTGGCTGCAACATAGCAACAATTGTGAGGATGGTGCAGGACCTGTTGTCCATAAGGTCACTATGAGTCGAATCAACTCCATGGTACCTAAAAAGAAAAACAAGCATTCTGGAAATAAGACAACTTAAGAAAAATAACTGAAATTTGTAAAGTCATGAAGCTAAAATGAGGATGTTCGTGAAATCTTAGAATATTGGAACTAGGGAACACCTGTGTAAGGATCTAAGTTAAACCATAAAAGGAACTACTACTTGGTGGTGGTAAATTTATGGGGATTTTTATAACCTTGAAGAAAACCTTAAGTAGGATCACAGCCTAGAATCATAGCCTTTTTGAGTTGCAAAGGATCAATGTAATTTTCCAAACTCTATTCGGGGCATACTGCTTCAAATGGGACTGGGGGTGATGGTTGTAGGTCATGGGATTAAGAAAAAATCTCACCAGAATATAGCTGTAGCAGGAAAACCAAGATAAATTTAACAACAACAAAAAACTATAGAAGGCTCCACTGCAGCTACAGGGTCTTCAGCAACAGGAATATGGTTCGCACTAGCATTTTTGTTATTTAGCTATTCTCCAATGTGTGCTTTTTGTCCCACCCAAGTGACTTTTTTCCTCTGTCCCTGCATACTTCTGCTTATTCTTAACATTGACCTGCTGTAACTTTTCATGGTTCCACTCTGTGGGTTGGGCTCTCTGTAAGTGGCTTGGTCTTTCTGTGTCAAGAGCCACCGTACCATACTGACTCGCCTACATAGGGCTGTTCCTTCTGTAGAAGCTGCTGGCAGGGCAGATTCACTTAAAAGGGGCCTTTTCAAGATGAGCAGCTTTGACTGAGTTGTCTAGTTAGAGAATAATAGTCCTAACTTGGTAGCTTGAAAGGGAGCTACTAAGCCCTCATTCATTTATGTTCATGATGATTAGTTCATGATGTTTGATTCCAAGCGATAAAAGAGAGTGGGCTTTTTCATCGTGTGTGTTAAATGATTGTAAAACAAAGAAAATAATTCTATTAGTAATACAATACTATAACATGTCCAACCTTTCAACTAGTTCGAAAACAACAGTGTCAACTCCTTTGATTGTAGAATTCCCACTTTTCTTTCGGGATACCTTGAATATAGTGCACAACTTGTGAAGGTCTAACTTAATGGTTACGTAGTGAGTACACCTACTTCTCACTCCTCCTCAATTATTGACTCTCATCTGACATTTCACATTTATGACAATAGTAAAAAATGTACTATCCTATTATTTTGTGCATTAACGAGCCCACAGACCTGCATACCCTCGCAGCACAGCTCATCCAGGGTGAGTGGAGGAAGGAGCGGCACTGCCCTCAGGGCATTTAACCCCAGTCTGGAACCCACGGGTCACCCTATGCTCCAGCTCCTCTTGGCTCTCTCCCAGCACGCCCCATCCTCTGCCACTCATGTGGGCATCAGGAGTGGGCACGGATGGTGCTCACCTCTGGAGCCACCCCTGGCTGAGGCTGCAGCATACCACCTATCTTGTGAGAATACTGCTGGAGCCAGATTGTCTGGGTTCAGATCCTGTTGCCCATCAAAGCTCTGTGACTTTGGGTGAGTTATATATCTGTGCCTTAGTTTAAATATTAAATGAGTTAATAAATATAAAGTGTTAAATCTCGTACCTCACACCCAAATGTTAGTTTTATTCTCATAGAAATAAATATGAAATCTATTATTTCCCACATCCCAGTTGGTGGTTTTACACAATATGGTTTCGCATCCACTAATCTTCTCAATCCAAATCCTCTGGTAGGTAGTTTTAGGCGATGCAGGCAAATTGTGCTTGAAAAAAAATTGTGCTTGAATTAATTTCTTTTAATATAATTTAAAATGTAAGCATGTTCCAAGTTTATCTTTTCCTGCCTATAAAGGGATGTGGAATATAATCAAAGGCTTATTGAGTAAAATGAAAAGTTTCATCGTCTAAAAACTTTTTGCTTGCTTGCAATTGCTTTTATTGAGTCTTACTTTAATTGTTCAGTAATGATGTCAGACTTCAAAGTTTTGTGCTCTATCAACCTATGTAACTTTAATCTGCACTTAAAGAAGCATTTCTTAAAATGTGCAATTAAAGTTTATCACTTTGAAGCAAAATCCTACTTCCCACTCTAAGCTTGGCCAAGCAACAAGAAGTATGAGTAGGTCTTTGAAATGGCATCACATGAGCTAGCAAAGTGAAGGTAAGAAGTGACCTTTTTGGGACCAGATTTAGGCTGTAGGAAAACCATCACCCAAGGGGTAAGGGAAACCAAAACCAGCAAGTGCTTTCACCCTCACAGCAGATTTGTGATGTAAGTGGTAGTGCCCGTTTTTGTGTGGAGATACCCAGAGAAGGTCATAAAGTTCAAAATGGCATTGGCATTCAAACTCAAGTTCATTCCTTGGATTCGGTTGCTCCAGAACTAATGTTAATTGTACCAGAACTTTAGAGATGCTAATTTCCATATCTGATGTCTTTTGCTGTTTCTTCTACACTGTTTCCCATCTAAGCATTCCTGGAGTTCTTTGGAGCCTGTTTTAGGTCCTTATTTAAATTCTTATTTTTACAAGGTATTATTTTTCTTGAATCTGAATAATTCTAGGGACTTCTTTTTCTTAGTATTGTGTTGAAGAAGTGGAGTGAGGCTTTGAATCTCTAAAACTTTTGATTCTGTTGACAGTGGAAAGTAAATTAAATGAACAAACAGACTGGAAAAAATACAATGTGGTTTATCTAAAGAAATCACTCAAATTTATAAGAGAAAGCTTCCAATAAATAGGCAAAGGATATAGACATCTAGTCACATAAGGAAAGTAAAATAACAAGCATTTTTTTAATGTTATAAGGTAATGAGCAAAGAAACACAAAACACCTTTTTAATACCGTTTTATACCTGTTGTGAAGGCAGTGATGGTTCAGTAGAATTCTTGCCTTCTGTGCAGACTAGTTTCATTCCTGGCCAGTGCTCCTCAAGCGTGGCCACAAGCCATCTGTCAGTGGAAGCTTGTGTGTTGCTATGATACTGAACAGGTTTTAGCAGTGCTTTCAGACTAAGATAGGCTAGGAAGAAAGGCCTGACTATCTACTTCCAAAAATCAGCCAGTGAAAACGCTTTGGATCACAACAGTCTGATTTTATTGTGCATGGGGTCGCCATAGTCAGGGGCTGACTTGACGGCAGCTAATCACAACAACGTACCTGCTGAAGTGGAAAACACAAACACGAATACCCAGCCCTGGCAAAGTATTGGTAATTATTCAGGACAGTACGTATAGTCCTCTCTTTGAAAAAAAGCTATATGGCAACATGAGTGAATTATAAAGTTCTTTATAAACTTTAACCCAATGTCATTGATTAAAATATGTACAAATATGTTCATTTCTGCCTTATTTTAGAATACGAAAACCTTGGATTAAGTCAAAATATCTAACATTGTGTAGTTTATTATTGAATATTATGCATTCATTAAAAAGGTAGACTAGCTGATAGGAATGTAAAATTGGGCAATCATTGTGGAAAACATTTTGAGAGTTCCTCAAAAAGTTGAACATAGAATTACCATATGAGCCAGCAATTCCACTCCTTGCTATATGCCTAAAATAATTGAAAACGGCAACTTAAACAGATTGTACACCATTGTTCATTGAAAACTCAGCTGCAAAAGGACAAATATTGT